TTACACTTATATTTATATTATGTAAGTATAATGTCAATAAATGTTCACAAATATCTTTGAAGCAAGCTACCGATCTCGACAAAATTAATAAACAGATCGCTTGCGCAAAAAAATATACACACAAGAAATTATTGTAATACATATAATTTTTTAAGGCATTTAAAATACGGAACATTTAATAACATGAGAACCAAATGTTCGTCAATTCGATAATCAAGGTCTCACACGAATACCAATGAGGAAGATTTGGTAACAATTCCCACATATACTCGTAGTTCTGACATAATGACGCATAATATAAAACATACATAATAACAATTATTTACCTAAAATACCACGCCGTTTCTTCTCGGAAACATTTTAAAACATCCACGTCCATTAATCATGACATACATTTTGTATTCATAGTGGTATTTATAACTCACATATAGTGCGTGAAAGTAAACCCATGGAATAGAAGTTAACTGACTGTCTACGTCACAGCAAACGTCAGTAGAGTGACGTTATTTGTAGTGAGTGACAAACATAGCGCGCACAGTTGTACGCACAAATACTGAGACGGAATATTGCTCATTCTATCTAAGTTTAGAACGTCTTCTTCTGTTCGTCATCTCCTGTACCGCGAAGTCCCCATGAAACTATTAATTAAGACCAATTATTTAAACTTATTGCCGTGTTACATAAATTTCGTTATGATTTAGTACGAAGTCTAGTTTCATCGTTTGTTCGTACTGAATTGAACAAATATATAGTAACAAGCTTTGTTATTAGACTCTCTTACAATTTTCAGATCAGAATATCTAGTACAAAGTTCGTTGGTCAAAATAATTACATCAGAGGTGATGTAAATTGTTTAATTTCCATGATTCACTTCACATAAATAATTACCTATACCCTTAGTATTATTACACATTGGTATAGTCAGAGGCATCAACTGTTGCCATTGTGATGAACACAATATTTAAATTCCGTAATTTCTCTGGGTATATCGAAAACATCCTGGCCGAAGTCGAGGCTACCGCCGTCTCTTAGATTTTTGCTTTATTAACGATATTTCCAATACCGGAAAATTAATCAGAAATATAAATTGACACACAGAACTTTTGATGTCGGACTGATATGAGCCCATAATCTTCCTGTCTAATTCCAAATTACAAACCGCTAGACTATGACAATCTTTGTTTCAAATTAGATCATAATAACGTTAATTCTCAAGTGTATAAAAAAATAGTTTTACAAAATATAGAGCTCCTCATTACAAGATCTTAAAATGCCTTAACGGATCGTTGGTCTCCAAATTAAGAGCTTTGACTCAATAAAATTGCTATTTCTAACTTTTTATTACAACTATATGTATACATTCAGCTAATCATGATATAAAAATACATTTGTGTATTAGAATATATAAATATATTGTAATATACATATGTATCTTGTTATCGTTTTAAACGATTCAATTGTTATTTCAAACATAAAAATATCTTTTATTTATGAAATTTTATAAATATTATGTTACAGATATTGTCGTAATAACTAATTTGCGCAAAGCGTTATACTCTGCGATCACTGGAGTTTCAGGCAAACCTTCTTTACGAATTCCTGACTAATACATAGAAAGCTATATTCGAATTGTTTGATTTTTAACTAATTCAGTTAAAAACTAACCTATTTGAATATAGGTTTCTTTTTTATATTTAGGCATTGACAGACCAGTCAATCAATCAGGATTCTATTATGTTCTATTGTGTTTATGGAGAAAAAGTTTGTAACTCGAACAAATTGCTAAAATTTAAACCAGAATTTTAATTGGTTTTCAAAATGGATGAAGGGTAAAAAAGCTTTTGCGAATACCTCAATAAAACTATGCCTTATATTTTTTGTGTTTATACACTTTATACTAGTTAAATCTACGTAGGCAGAGCGTGCATAATCGCAGAGGAATTTATTTAATGCACATGTGCGATACATAGTCATCATTTTGGTAAAAACATCAGTCAACATTGGAGATAAAAAACTGATTATAACTTTACCAAAATCAACGTTTCCTGGACTAGGAGAGATTAAATACGTTCTAAAAATTAAATTCGAATAAAAAACGCTAAACAATTCAAAATATTATCTTGGCCCATTACAAAGAATTAGATTTACTTCGTTCACTCTCACGGCATTGTGGCTTTTCAATCTTTGTGTATACACTGCATTTTGGAGGACAAGTAGAGATTATTAAGTGACGTCAGCTTCTATTCTTATTACCAAAATAGGTACATACGTAATCGACTATTAATTATAAATTACAATATTATATAATTAAAAAGTAATATAAAAGTAGTATAATAAGTAATTATTAAGTCCCTCATAAATTACATATGAGATAATATAATAGGTGGAATCACAACGAAATGAATATTCAATTTGATGAAAAATAATTGTGTAAAATTTTAAATGTAGAGATAGGACGAAATTATACGGGCCTTATGACTCACGATATCATCTGAGGGACATAACCCGTAAGCACGAGAGAAGTTATATCCTTTTAAATATATATTTCGGTTAATGTGTTTTTTTAAACAGTATAATGTTCTCATTATACTGTTTAAAAAAACACATTAACCGATTTAAAAATAACTTCTAAATCGGATAAGGGTCAATGATTGCAAAATTTCGACGCACATAATATTTGGTAGTATGTTTAGATAATTCATTGTTGACAATTACGTTAACATTCCAGCACCTACCACTTGGCAATCGAGCAACAGTTATACAAAGTGTAGATAATTCTTTGGTTTTCTATTATTAGAATTATTACAGCATAAAAAATGTTATGAATGAAAATTTTGTATATTAATGTTATCTTTAGTAAAAACTATATATATGTACCTGCTAGATATCAAACTGCGTTTATTATGCATATTAGTATGTAAATAATTTTTTTTTTTTTCGATATAGATTCTGTTTTTACTAATATATTGCAGTATGCTACACCATAAATTTTACATATATTAGAATCGGTTTAAAAACAAAAAAGTTCTACGGCTGCGTAGACGCGGCCTTAGGTAAGAAGTAATAAATAATCTAGAACTAAATACCTGGTAGTTCTTTTGATTTTATCATTTTGATCTGAATAACTCTGCCACATAAACGAAGTGTACTCTTAATAAAAGAGAAAGGGGAGTTGGGACTAATTAGTTTAGGGAGTTAGTACACAGAAGAGAAGATCTGATATCGTTTGTGTTATGATTCCATCTACCTATAATATCAACAGATAAAATTAATGTTACTTCTTAAGTATGAAATATTCATATAATAAAATTAATATAAAATCACACTGACTGTAGACGGAAACTCTACGGGATCTTCCTTACGAATATACTATGGTATTTTAGTCATATCAATTAATTGTTATATTAGTGTAAAACTATTATATATTAGGAATAGTTTTGCTGTCGATTCCTATACTAATACCTGTTTTAAAGCAGAGAAAAGAACAAAAATAAATGTTGTTATTTGTATTTTTTTCTCGCTTAATTTAACTTAATTTGTTATTACAATTATTGAAATTGCAATACTGGATAATTTATTAATTGTAAACTGCATACCTACTTCGTTATATCATAATGCAAAAATTGTAATATTAGGAATACAATACAATACATTAATAAAAAATTATAGACATTGACCTATCGTAAAAAATAAACAAAATTATTTTCAATAATAGAGTTTGTAACTGTATTTAAAGTGTTTAAATTGTGCCAATTGTGAGTATCATCTAGACTAGAACTAGTAACTACAATAATTTAGCTTTGCATTTAGAATAGAGTTAAAACTATTATTCTTTTATACAAGTGACCAAGATGAACAGTGAAACAATATCTTGTTAAAGAAAATGGATTGGAATTTATTTTCTTATATTATTTATTTTCTTATAATTTATCTTCTCGTAAATGTTTGTATCATATTGTTTTTTTATTTATTCAAATAATTATAATTAAATTCATATATTGCCTACTTATATTTAGTTTGTAGTAGGTCTTTAAAGCACCAATAGTGTAATAAATCTGATTTCTCAATATTAGAGTGGTAACTACTTTATCTTTTTTCAGCTGTTTTTTTTTATATGAAAGATAGTGATAAAACACTGATAGAAATTATAACTGTTAGATTGTTTTTTAGGTTTTAGTTTGTAAGTTAGAAATTTTCATTAATAAAATAATTGATGTCCGAAGATAAATTCATAGATCTTACTTAATGTTGAATTACCCAAATATTCTTTAATTACTAAATATTTTATTACAACATAATTATTTAAATTCATAAAAAATTAAGATAATTAATTATTTGTCAATTAATTTCATTCTTATTGCTTTGGGTGCGAATGTAGTTTTAGAGACTTTTACTTTTATTCTTTCTTGTTCTATTTACCCAATAAAAAAGACAATGGAATCGTGCTCATATAGCTATATTAGTTCCGAGTAGATATCTAGTTATGTTTTTCTAGATTATCTATAGTAACGTATCGTTAGATACTATTAGTTAAGTAGACTAAGTACACTTACTTACGTTAAGTTGACTAAGTACTTACTTATTCTACTTAACTAATAGTATCTAACAATATGTTACATTTTATAATCTGTTTTTAGATTAACTAATCTCTGATGTAAAGACTGTATATCTCTTTGTTATCAAGATATCATCTTTGAGAAACTAAAAAAAGGAGTTTATAAGCTATGTGTAATTGTATATATAATAATAATTAATTTTATAAAGATCAGTAACTACAGAATTTTAATTTAATAGAATAAATTCTCCTAAATTTTCATCAGTAATAAAATACCTGCAACAAACTTTTACACTTTCGTAAAAAGTTTAGAATGATTCAAGTAGATATTTTAAATTTGAACTGAGTAACAATTTCAAAATAAAAATAAAGTCCAAACAAAGATCATTAATAAAATATACGACAAGACATATCTGTATAAATATTCTTATAGATTGTTACGTACCTTGCCAATCAGAAACTAGTCTTCTTCGCATTGAAACACTAACCACCATTCGAATGTGTCCAGATATATTCACTATCACTTTATATGTAAACAACCACCATTATGTGGCGAATCCACATCTCAATGATAATAGAAACTCGAAGTTTTTGCTTTCAGTTCTTTTATTGTAGTATTCACAACCTCAAGGGAAATTATAGAGGCAAAGTTAGTTCCAAACGTAACGGAGACAACATTTATGTCAACGAGTATAATGGAAAACGTGAACATGGAACAGATACTTAATATTTAGATTAACACAATTATCCATTGACAATAGATAAATAAGTGCATCCTATTATTTAATCACAACGTATGAGAAATTTACAACCAGATTTTATTGATAAGTTTTTATGTGAGCTGAGTTGGGACAGAATTAAACGCAAACCGCATATTTGTTTGTATATTATCACAACCATTGTTGATCTTTCTAAATAGTCTTCTACATAGAAAGGCTATCCTTTCTGTTGTATACGTAGCCTACATGCTGCATCCCTTACAATAGTATATCTAATTAATTATATTAAAAGTCACAACACTGAAGAGGTAAGCATTGATAACATAAAATTTACATCGTGTTAACTTTTGTGTCTCTTGGAGTAAACACTAAAAATTCCATCTCAATTCACTCTTACATCACTTAAATCTAGCGTCTATGGTACTAAGATCATCGTGCACAAGTTTTATTTTATTGTTTGTGGTACAGTCAAATGTTTGACGGATCTCATATTTAACACGTGAACTCGTAACTGAAACGCGGGACGCGAGAATTCAACAAGCTCGCCGAGCCGTTCACTGAACACACGCCGCTACAGATTATGTATTTATAAATAACTATATGTGTCTGTGTCGGCCCATTTCACTACTATTAAACGTGGTGCACTACGTGGGACAGCGGTGAATGTCAGGTGATTTCGAAGCTGTCAGTGAAACTGTGTTTTCAGTTTTCCGATGCGACGTGTGTTCTTCGTACTGTTTGTGCTCGGTTACTAGAGGCACGCTTTCCACACTGCAATTGCTGAAAGGCGAAACCTGTTGAAATAGGACGGGATACTGTGCGGGAATGAGATGTAGGTACATTTCGGGATGCTGCTTCTAGTTTCAGGCGCTTATTTTGCTGCCGCTGCGTGTGTGCGTGAAAAGTTGCGTGCTTACAACCGTGAGTCGGTGTTAGTGAGTTGTGGAAAACTCTCTTTAGGGCGCTTTCACAAGCGCGTGGTTTTGTTGATGTTCATCTGTGTACCCAATATATTCTATTGAATATTTTATATATGTTAAATCTCGGCTTTCTTGTGCCTGTTCCTTTATTATGTTAAATATTGAATCCAAGTAAAATGAATCATTATAGGATATAAGGACTCTTGTATACTATTATGTATTAATTTTATACGACAAACAGCTTAATAGTCAAAGACAAAATATAATGGACCCATATTTTCATCGTGTAAAGAATCATAGTAGTCATATCGTAAACAATCACGAAGACATAGATTTATAACAAAGAGTTATATCCTCAATAAAGCTTTATTGTTCTTCCAGAACCAACAAGCATTGATTAATGCTTAAATGCTTTGCAAAATCCCAAAACAAAGACCAGGTAAAATTGAAATCGTGTCTAAGAATCGAAGGTGTCGCTGTAGGAATTAATCAATTTAAAGTAGCATCAAGCAATATAAACAAGGGGTCACACAGACGCGTGGCATAATCAAATAGCACGCACTCTCGTAGGCTGGTAGATCGAGAAGCGAGAATGGCGGATGCTGGAGAGCAGGCGAGATGACAACACGCAACGTGGCTGCGCACGCAGCGTTCGATACACCCCCACAACCCACCACACCCCCGCCACCACACTCATACCCAACAGAAATCTATACCGAAATGGGAAACCACCTCTGACAGCTCGCTCCAATGTACTTTTCATTATATCGAGAATCAATTGACAAATTAGTACCTAACAATGGTCATTTACTTACATGCACACCACGCGTACGCTGCACTCTACTAGGCTGCGAAGACAGCCCCTAGCAGTCTTTGTTTATCTTTTTTAGAAAGCTCCTAATGGAGAGACGTCCTTGTCAACCTTAGGGTGGCTATTCCGACCATTTCTACATGTTTCGTCTACAAATTAATTGAATGTTCCTTCTCCAATCTAATATTACAGTAAAAATCCAGTACAATAATATTTCTTTGTTTTGTAAAAATATTTAACCATCTTACGTTCAACTGAACCAAAAAGTTTCGAAATTCTTTAACGAGTGAACCCCATTTATTCCATAAAGAATTTTCTTGGAGGATCTACTTCGTGTTATGCTCAATTACAAACAATTAGGGGGATATGAGACCGGTACGGTACTGTTCGTGTTACAAGACAAGGGTACAAGATTGCTTGTGACGACGTAAATCATCTCAGAGACGTGTGAATAGAAGAAAAAAACAATGTAATTCTGAACCATTAAGCGACTCGCTCCTTTCTTATTTTACAAAAAATATATTTCATTCTCAAATAAACATTATTTTGGAAATCATTACCTAAATAAATCATTAACATTAGACTTGTATTTACTGAAAAACTACGTGGAGGTATAACAATAATCAATGAACTGTAATAATGTCATTAAATATTATTGAGCTACAAATTGATGCATTCATCATGTAAAGATAGATAAAAGAAAAACGATGTAAAGGAAATTTAATGTCGAAGATCTAAAGATTTCAGTCTTTCTTTTATTATATTGTATATACCATTGAAACCGCATGTACATTGAGTGTTAAACACATTGAGGCATACACACGACACTCAAATTCGGGGTAATATTAGAGCAGTTGTGGTGGGAGTTAAACCTGTTCGGTGGCCACATTATAGTACAGGGCGCTCCCCACCACTGCTTATATTGCCCCTAATTTCAGTGTCATGATTCGGCCGTTTTACAAAATAGACAATGAATAGAGTGCTATATATTACTAACCCCAGACGGATTTACGTCTAAATCTCTGTTCTTTGATCCTAGATAAAAATACACTTAATAGGTTTAGAGCAATAATGAAAATAAAATTATTTTAGTAGCGAAGCTCTTAATTTTAGCTAGTACTACAACCTAATGGAAACGTCTACAGTAGATATTAACCTTATTTATAATAAAATTTAACTTAAAACCCGAGTAAAAAAAATTTATGTGACACAATTTAAGAGCACAATATATTAGTGATAAATACAAACAAATCCGTTAAGGTTAAGCCGTTTCTGAGCAAGCAGACAATAAATAATCATATGTGTATGCATTATCTAACTATACTAAACAATCATCAATAAAGTCCCTGAATAATATTTTTTCTCATATATATTTCATGTACAGACACCTATCATGTTTATCTATATATAGACTATCCATTTTCTTATCCCTATTGATGTGTACTTAGGACGCATGTTTAAAAATAACTAACGCAAAGTACCTATACTAATTTATATAAAAAATAAACTTAAACAAACAAAAAAGTTAAACGATTATGGATTTACATTCAACACACTTAAGACAGACAGAGAAACATACTTTCAAACTAATATATTAGTATTACTAATATATTATACTATAATATTAGTATTGTTTTCAAATCTACATTTTTGTATAAAACAATATTTACAGGAACACTGTTAGTAGATACAATATGAGTAAATCATATAAATCATAGCCATTAAAGCAATAAGATCATATGTATGCTGATTCAATTAATACCTAAATCTTGATCCCTTATAATTATTCTCCACATTACATAAAATATAATTCTTTTGAAATTTGCATAATATATTTATAAAATTTCTTTTACGAGTCCAAAATTCGCCCCATAGAAAATAGAAATAGAAATAATCTTTATTCAAATAAACTTAATATAAGCATTTTTGAATAGTCAAGTTTTTTAATTCTATCGCTTATTCGGAATGCAGATTCATCACAAGAAGAATAAGCAAGAAAGTTGTGTGTTGCTCTTTTAAATAAATAATGATTTACTTAGATTTAATTAACAACAAGGATTAGGCATGCGACAATCAACATAAAAATCTCTACGCACTTAATATCTGTTCAATCTGATAACATTGTCAGCGCTATGAATTTTAAGTTAGATATTTTCTACAAAAAACATTATTATAATTTATAAATTTTTCAATTTTATAATACCTATTATAAATTGTTGTGTTTATTTTATAACACATTTTAATTTTGTTTTCATTAATCTCTTATACTCTGGCGAGAATTTGTTGATAAATTGTTTGCTTTTCTTATTATATACATAAAACGAATTAACTATTTATATTCGTCATTAATATATATATATATAAAACTAGTTTGTTGACATTACGTAAGCTTTTATTAGTGTAATCACCTACTTTTTTAAAATACAACTATCGTTTACTTTTTCAAGAAAAAGTTCAAACTAATAATTTAAATAATTTAATCTTGCAATACAAGACCTTCTTGTTTCTGAAGTTGATTGAATTAGTAATCTTTCTGTTTTCATATTCATTCTATTGATAATGCTGATCTGTGTTGTCCATTCATATTCTCAATTACTTTGTTTCTTAAATGATTTCCAGCCGCTTCATCTCCAGCTTGTAATTGTGTTAAATTTATTTGTTCATGTCGCTGTAACTTAAAATGACTTTCCATTTGTTGGCGAAGCAACTGTTTTCTACTGTATACTAATTAACTATATATGAATGACTCTGTAGTATAAAGGATCATGTAGAGTATTTCAATACTATTTCATCACCACTTCTGCCACCTCTACTATATTTTATTATTTCCTGTGCAATAAATATAATATTTAATACCACGCCATCTAGCAGATATAAAGTGAACTGACAGAGATTGCTATCAGAGTAGGTACTTTCTGAAAACGTTTTAATATGCACATGCTTTTCATACTCGAAGCACAGATAACATAATATCTCGATGTTAAAATCTAAATAATTCGCCGGCTTCGGTGGTCTATTGGTTTAGCACACCACTTTACTTTCGACGGTCGTGGGTTTTCCATGTATAATATATATGTGTAAAAGTATTTACAAAGAATATATATCTAATCATTTATATCAGTTGTCTAGTACACATAACTCAAGCTCTACTTACCGTGGAACTAGATGGGGCTGTGTTAATTGTTCAGCGTTATTTATTCATTTATTATTATTATTTATTGAAAATAAACCGATACCGACGCGTGTATGAAATAACAAAGACAAGGATTTTTTTGCATGGAATAGAGCTTTACCAAGTATACATACAAAGACGTAATTGTAACTCATAGTCAATCAAGATCGTTTCATTTAAATAACAAACTAAAATTGTCCCGATTAATGTCAATCTAAAATCTTGTCACATTGCCAGGAAATGCGGCAGATAATAGTACGTACAGAAAGAATCATTGTGAAAAAAAATGAATATGGCTAGTGACATACATTCGTAAGAACTTCACGGTGTAACAATAGAACACATGGACAGTAACAGCACAATGCTTTTAGTCTCATAAGTATATATAGAACACTTAAAGACACTAGACAGAGTTTGTCATAAATTATAAAAAATAAAGAAGTGACAACGCGATAATTACAAAATAGAATTATGAATTTTAGAGACCTTCAAAAATAGAAATTGTTGGCATATTTGCGTAGATGTTAGACACTCCAAAATATTAAGTGTCGAAAGGTAAAAAGCTGTCCAGTAAAAATTAACAATATTTGAAAATTCTTATCGGCGGGCGGCCAATTTCATTTAATTGTAATAATAATTATTTTATTTTATTTATCTTATTAAAACTTTTTA